TGGTACCATGGAATTTTGTCACCGTTCACCTTGTACCAAAGATGACCTTTTTCAATATTCTTTCCTCCACTTTCCTAGCCGCCCATCTTTTGAAAACATCACTTGGGAAAGAGGAATCGAGAACGGGGACAGATATGGCAACTCAAAAACAAAACTCTACCGAATTAATGCAGAAACTACTAACTGCAAGTACGACCCTCTTTGAGCGCAGGTGGTGTAATGCAAAGAAGCGCACTGTCACACCACATGATCGTCGTATCCCGGATCGTTATTCACCCAGGCCAACCAAGTTTTCCATCTCTCCACAGTTGAGTAAATCGTACTGGCGCTGTTTGAGATGATAAAAGCACTGACTTAAATATGGGCTGGCCACACAAGTTATTGCCTAGGCCTCATATGCCCAAACGCCACTTCGTTTAGAATGGAAGCCCAGTGCTGGGCGCATTCCGATTACTGACGACTCTCTAAATACCGCCACATCCGTCCAGGTTTGGCGGAGTTGGTGTAATGCCAAGAAGCGCACTGTTACACCACATGATCGTCGTATACCGGATCGTTACTCACCCAGGCCAACCGAGTTTTCCATCTCCCCACAGTTGAGTAAATTATACTGGGGCTGTTTGAGATGATAAAAGCTTTGACTTAAATATGGGCTGGCCACACAAGTTATTGTCTAGGCCACATACGCCCAAACGCCACTACGTTTAGAATGGAAGCCCCGTGCTGGGCGCATTCCGATTACTGACGACTCTCTAAATACCTCCAAATCCGTCCAGGTTTTCTCCTACAAGGCGAACACCTTGTCTTCATTTATTTCACAACAAAAATTGCCTTACACCTTCGTGGACTTCAGGGTAAAGTGGTCCACTAGTCTACCGATTACAGAACCGTGGAAACCGAGACGTTCTCACGGCGTCTGAATGTCGCTGTCCTCAATATCGACAATTCGATTCGTATCCGGAAACAAGAGCATCAACAAATCGATGAGACACCTTACGTGTGACCCATATAGATGCGCTCTTGAAGTCCCACTAGTGGAATAAGATGGGTTAAAAAGCCACGAATGAAATGTGGCTGCAAACGTATGGTGGAACCGTTTGGCGAAATGATGGCGGAACCGCCTTCTGACGCTTTGAATATCTTGGAAAGTGCCATTGGCTGTAGAAAAGGTGGTAATTGTTGAGATAGCCAGCTACTACTCTGGCATCTCTACTTGTTTAACGAAGCTCCGTATCATGGACTAGAGCGTCTCATGAATGTTTCAAGCTTTCAAGCTCTAGTTTAAGGTCTCACAATAATTCTGCTCGTACAGGGCAAGCATATGGTGTTCAACAGAAGTGACCAGAATCGTCTTCCATTTCGCCACTTTAATTACCTCATTACCCCTTTAAACAGAACCCTCAGCACCTGCGCAACCCAAGCTTTGAGCATTTCTTTCATCTTTCTTTCTCTTCCAATATCGTCAGGATTTACGATTAGCTGACCCGACTCAGTGTACGGTAAGAGGGCGCAGTGCAAGTTTGGGACCACATAAAGTTACGATCCCCACTGGGTATTTGCGGGGCAGTATTGCAAGGATATTTGGCGATGGGTCTAGCTTAATACGGTGATCTTCACCATATATGTATGAGATGCACCCTTTCCGTCCTAATTTCTTCCGTATGATGCCTGTGATACCGTTCCTAAACGTATGGTTCACGTATGATTGAATTGATGAAGTACTGTTAAAGATGTACTGTTGTTTACATCGATTCGTACTTTTCGCTGTAGGACCGTTTTTCTTCCCAAGTTGTTTCTGACAAATGTTCAGACGGCGAAAAGAATAGTTTCATGACGTACAAGTGCCTCGAAAAACCGAAAAACTTCAACCAGTTCATTCTGCTCGTCATTGACAGTATCGGACTTGATACAGATGGTTTCGAGTCTTTTGAACTTGAATTGTTTGAATTTTAGTTTTAAACGGCTTCGTTAGGAAAGAATCGGAACCAAAAGCCTAAGCCAGTGCTAAGAAAAGCAACGATTTTGCGAAGAGTGGAGGACAACTCTAGTTTGGCTCCATTTCCTGCCCTACATCACTTAATGGATCTCCTATTTATTATTGACCCGTCTACCTNCTAAGAAAAGCAACGATTTCGCGAAGAGTGAAGGACAACTTTAGTTTGGCTCCATTCCCTGCCCGAAATCGCTTAATGGATCTCCTATTTATTATTGACCGGTCTACCTATTTATTTACCTATTTATTCATTTATTTGCATATTCGTTATTCACTCAGAAGCATCCTTGACACTGAGAAAAAACTTTAGACAAGCCCAATCACTTCCAAAGCCCGAAAGTATAGATCACTTGGCCTTCCTACCGAACACCATACATCTGACTTTTATTGGGGATATTTGATGTCATTAGAATGCATATTTGGCTCCCGCAGAGACCACCATGGACCATTCCTATCAGAGTTTGAATTCGGATCCCAATAAGGCGATTAGCGTCGCTACTTGCCGCTGCAACACCTTTGTGCTGTGACCTTGATATGGTAAGAGGTTTTTGGAGTCCTCTCGTCCCAACCGAAACGAAAAAAAAACTTCAAACTTTTTTCCTGGGTCGAACGGCACACGTGACTACTGGTCAAGGGTGGGACTGAAGTTCACCCGGGCTCTTATTCGGGTACCTCCACCTTCAACACTGCATTCGCTCCCGTGAGTGCGGCAAAACAACGTCCATTCCCTTCGTTCTTGTAAATGAAGCGGAATCCACAACATGTTGGCCGATCATATTCGCACTTTTAATCATAATGACCATCTGGGAGATAATGTCAAAGAAAAAGGGGCAAGGGCCTGAGAATTGTAAAGAAAGTATAAAAGTGAAAGCAGTCTACGTTTTTCGAAAAACAAAAGCCTGGGCTTCCCAGAAGGTCAGTAGAACGGGATATTCTACCTCTCCCTCTCTCTCCCCCACATTTCAGTACATGGCTAGATGGTGCAGGCTCGACAAAGAGGGCAGCGACCTGTACCTTCACAAAGGCAACTAAACATTCAAACAAAACTGAACAAAAGTCGACGGCGCGGCGCAGCTTAGGGAAGCTTTGTTGACACCCAGTGTTCCATTTGTTTATTTATTTGTGGTTACAGATAAACTGTGTTGTTTGATTTCTGGGTTAGTATTGCCGACAGGTTCTTATTTTGTTTGTCATTTTCCCCTTCCCTTGGTGACCCCATGTAGACACCCCCGCGTATACGACGTGCAAGAATTCCTTGCATATCTCCGGTGGCCATCTTCGAAAAGTAGGCGGTGTCGATATCGATCGACATCGTGGTTGTCCTCGCTGCAGCGATGACGACGACAACCGACGACGACGACGACGACAAAGTGGTGGTGATCGGGTGGCTGAGATGGTGACGGTAAGGGGCTGCAGCGAGAGGAGGAGCAGAGACGACGGCCAAGACGGGACGGGACGGGACGGGACACGGACGGGGTGGGGGCATGGATGGCTGGCTGGCTTGTGACCTTGGAACACGACCACCATCACACTTCGATGCGCACCCTACACCTTACCTCAAGACGGCCGGCCGCCCGGTTACAGCGTACAGGTCGGTGATTTTGCTATTTCAAACTCGAATATCTACTTACAAGAACTTATAGATACTCTCTTCTACATTTCCTTTTGAAAAAAATAACCTGTCTATTTTTAAACCATTTGTAAAAACGGTCTTGCAACGAAAAGTAGATGCACTTGAAATGATCGACCGTATCACTTACTATACAAACACGACCCACAATCTTGTTAGCCTTTTCCGAACTAATTCAAGAAACCTCAGGAATCCCCTCATTCCACTGATTCCACGATACTGACCTTTGTGTAATGGTGCGTATTCACCTGCATGAGTTTCTGTAATTTTCCGTCGTACCTGCCTGTAACTGCGCAAAACACCTCAATGGTCAATTGATTGACGCCAATTCATCGCAGAACATTTGATGTCCTTGAAATCTGGGTTCTTAGACAACACTATAGTAAGAAAAACTTGCTGCCCATCATAGAAGAATTAAACTCGAAATCTCAACTGATTTTGGTCCGCCTTTCCCCCAAGCTTCAGTGGTGATAGCAAGAACACGTTTTCTGATCGATAAGCGGCTCTTATCATTGAGAAAACCAAAGTGCAAAGTAACTGGAATCGTAGTAGTAACATAAACGCACCTTTTTAGGCCTATATTCTTCCAAAAGGCGAGAATACGGTAGACCAGAATGAGACGAGTTACTAGAGGAAATCGTTGTGCCCGGCGGATGAATGAGACCATGCGACCGGGTCGAGCGTCAACGAGGATGCTGGTGGGGGTCCGACCGACGGTCGGCGCCGGTCGTGGCGGCCGTGGATCGTGGGTGCCAGGCGGCGGGGGCGCTCCGAGACATCTGGCGCCGGTTCGCGCCGACTGGCCGGGTTTCGAAAAACGGCGCGAGATTTCGAAAATTTGAATTTCTTTACTCGCAGTTCCTTTTGGCTAGCTACGATCGCCGACGGTCTACGCTAAGGGTTGTTGGCTCGTTGGCCTTGACCGTGCCGAGCGGAGACAATGACAACGACGACCACGACGTCGACCAGCACCCAAAAAACTCGGTCGTGGCCTCGGCGCAACGCTACGTTTGACGCGTGTGCGCCCACACGCCAGTCGTGGACTCATCTCGAAGTTTCTAGGCATTCAACCAGCCGGCTGGCACAACTCGTTACTATAGTCATAATGTTATTCCACCTGTATAAGGAGCTACATGATTCTCATGGTGGATTGCCACTTGCGTATACATTGATTATTGTAATTTCTGTTTTTCGGATCAATATTGTTTTTCTTATTTTCTTCCAATCTTTATCGGTTCGGAAAACTTTTTAGTGGCGCTCTTTTTTGTTTTTCCAGCAGGTGGACGTCCATACTTTTGCGCGTACTTCATAAGCGCATCCTGATCAATCAATATGCACATTTCCCACACAGGAACGAGGAAGGGATCCTTCGTGGGAACTAACGAGTACTAACAAGTTCGAACGCGTTCACACCATGACGTCATAGCTGGTGTTCGTTTCTACTGACATGTCCCTTGAATCGATCGATATTTAAGGTGTCGGGAAAGACGATAAAAACAGTTAGGGTCCATTAGGGCCAGTACGATAGGGTGATTGTGGTTACTTCACTTCATCCATTAAATCATCCAAAATCGACCCATTAAGCGTTCAATAATTCATCCAATATAAAATATTAAAACTAATCGACCTGTTATCATCAATAAAAACCTTCATTATTAGAAATTTGCCGGTTTAATCGATTTCAGAACAATTCGAGTTTTTCAGGTATCGCGGATCCCTGGCCTTCCTGGCTACTACCCCGTGGTCTATTCTGTGCCTAGACAGGAACTGGATTATTTTATTCTACGTATTTCGAGACCCGATTCTTCCCAGTACTTCCTATCCTTCCTGGATCAATCCTTTCCTATTCCTTCCTTTACCCACCCTTTTTGTCATCTATCCCATTTTTCTTCGTCATCACGTCAGTCACCATTGTCCGATCTGGATGTTTCTCTGAGTCATACTCGTTGTGATATGACTAGAGACACATTCAGCTTGGCTACGTGACCATATCATGGCTACCACGTGCCATTCTATATGAATTTAATAATTCAGAACAAGATTCACTGTTCTTACTGTTACGGTCACAGTTGTAATGTCAGGTAGGACCTTATAATGATACGTGCACTATTCTGAACTATTCCGACATTATTACGTGATTTCTCCATCGAATCGAACTAGTAAAGGTTCGTCCGAAATCATTTATTAAAGGCACAGTTTACGCTAAATTTGATGTACCCGTTTTTATTCGAAAAGCGGAAGTATAGTCTGAGAATAGTCCATCGGTAGGGAAGAAAGCGAGAGAATTCGCAAATTACGAGAAAAGTAGGGCTCCTCAAAAGTAAGGAAAATAGAGGTTGGACGAGATTGCCATGACTTAACTAACATGGAATGGGTATTCGGACGGGTGACTACATCAAGCCAGAACTGTACGGAACTGTTTTTCACTGTCGCTATGGGTCATTACAAGTTGTTTGAAATTCCTACATGGGTTCCCTTGTGATCGGTGCAGCCCTACAGTGCCGGTGAAACTCGTCCGATGATACACACTGGCCAATCTTTGAGCCTTTACAACTCCCTAACTAGACCGTTTTCCGACCTAATAGTGCCAGATATGGTATAAGCGCGAGTCTCAAATTCATCCTGTAGGGGAATCTCAGAAACCATTTTCATCGTGAACTGTGCCTTTAAACCCACTCGACCCTTGCTTCCTTTTGAAATAAACCTTTTAATGGTGATGCATTAGTCTGTTGTACTTTGTGAAGAGCAACTAAGTAGGAGAAATCGGTTAAAAATGTTGGCCGCAGGGAAATGCTCGGAACAGCTTGATCAGGCAAGAATAGCTGCTTCATAACGGGAGATGACACTGGTCTGAAGGGAACATGATGGTACATTGGCTAGAGACGATGTTGTCGTTTACATTGGATCTATGGATTGCATCTGGCCAGAACTGTGGAAAACTAATCATAGTCAGTCTCCAAAAAATGTCGAATATGAACTTGAAGGTACCCTACAGCAAGCCTTCCTACTACGATCGAAGCGTCGAGTGCACGGCGCACTCCTGTGATCGTTCTATGTCGCCCATTTCAACGTAGGAGTCTTTAGTCGCCTACGATAATGAAATAGGGATGACCCGCCTCCACGAATTACTGTCACATTGCCGGTGCTGTCAGTTAGCCATTTGAAGATGCCATCTGTCTTTCGATGGGTCGTCTTCCTGTGTCGTGTTCAAACTGGCTCGAAGAAATTCAAATCGCGACCTTAATTTCGAATTCAACGCCGTCAACTGGGGAGGCGTGAACGAGACCCAAAGAAAGAGCGCATCGGCACCACGTAGACCTCTAAACGCGCATTAACTCTCAAGTAGTCTCACAAAGACAACGCGACTAGGAGGATTATAACGGGTACGGAGACAGAACAAATAAAGGGAGAATGGTCGTGAATCAGTTCATACCATTGCAAATTCGTACACATAGTCAACTGACAGGCGGTATTAGAAGCGTACTTTTTTTGCTCAGAAGCAAACGGACCAGCCAACTAGATAAAAAAAAATAGAGGGGAACTGACTAGCTGTTCGGCCCAAGCTATAAAATTACTTTTTTTCGAGAGTTACGCGAAAAAATCTCTGAGGAAATGAGTCAACCTTTTTTGTTTGTTATAGGTCTGACTGTTTTTATGTATTTAAAAAAAAACGGGTTTGAACTCCATCCAAGGCCAGAACACCGCTTACAACACTTCAGAGAACCTGTAGAGCACCTAAAAAAGTTAAAAAATATTATTGATAGACTTTCTGTTGAACAAAATTAAAGGGTAAAGTCCCCGGCATTAACCAATAACGTTTCTGGAACGCGCCCCGCACTCGACTTCTATTGAAAATCGAAGTGGCCTATTGAATATGAATTTAGCCTATACAATGAATTACTGTTGCCAGCCGATGTACAAATCAATGCTTTAACCCTTCAAGACCACTCTGGTACCAATTAACTAGCCCCGGAGGAATGGAAGACTCGATTGGCCTGGGTGGATAACTAGGATTTGAACTCATGACTATGCGTGGGAGATAGCGTGTCTTTTTCCACTACACCATTTCCGCTTATAATTTCTCTGAGTATGTTACCAATATAAACAGACCTGTATTAATGCAAAAGAAGAGCATGAGGTTTCGTAAATTTATAAAAAGAACTGTCTCGACATTGTTTCGACAGTTTCAGGGACGAGGACGTCAAGGTTTCATGTGAGATAGCAAATCAAGTTTTTTGTTGTTTTAAGCTTTTTCGGTCATGGTTTTCAAGAGGCAATGTCTTACTCTGTTGACTGCACACTCTGTTTTAATACAGTAGAAGCCATAGCTACACAATCACGCTCGGTCTTTTACAATCCAGAAATCTTCCGACGCTGAGAAATGCTCCTATGGGAACCACTAAATAGCTATTTTGCGTTTAGCGACAACTGCAAAAATCCATCCCATCATATCAAACCCAGCCCACAAGACTTGAGCTATCAAAGTTGGCTATTATTTCCCTTTCCCAACCATTTATATACACTATATACATAGATCAATGGGTGACTACCTCACCCAACGATCTCGGTCCTTACGGCTACACTTAGCATAAAAAGTTTCCCCACATTTCTCCATGCTCTTTCATGGTTTTCAAACCACCCAGAAATCACCTGGGAAATCAAAGCCGTTAGCCACTGGTTTTGCGTAACCGACCTAATTCATCACAAAGTCTCAAGAAGTGTTCCCAGTTGTCATAAAACTTTACCGTACCTACACTTTCATTTTGAAACGTCAATAATTAGTCGAAATGGCCACTTGAAAAAGATCAGAGCAATGTCTGTATGCACACTCATGATGTGGTCGTTGTCCTGGTCAAATACATCCGCTCCGACCTCTGGCCTCCTCCTCCTATTCATG